CGGGCGCGCGGCGCTGGCGGCCGTTTGAGCCGGCAACGGGGCAGGGGGCGACAAATGAGACGTCCCGGAATGGAGGCCCGATGGGCAGAAAAGGAAGACGCCGCCCTGCCCCCCGCGGCCCTCGGCTGCAGAGCGTTCCGCGGCAGGTGGCAGCTGGAGCCACAGAAGCTCTCACCCCCAGGCATGCATTTTTTCTTACTATTGAAATGTTTTATCAAAATTAGTCATAGGTGACAGCTCCTGCCATTTTCAAGAAAATGCTTTTCTCTAGCATCAAAACATAAGGATCAAGGGTCAGACTGGAGCCTGGCTTTAAACCCTGCTGCCCTAACTCCTAGTATAAAGCAAGGAGAAAGGGCTCTCCATAGGCTCTGCTCCGGTCTCAGCTCATACAGGGCTTTATATAACATCTGCACTTACAGTGAGCCTCTCGAAGCGAACACTTGCTCTTTATTTACCCTCATCTTCCTCAGCTTGCCGGTGACCGGACAACTTATAACTGATTTTCTCAACCCAGACTTCCGAGAGCCATGGCTAGAGCCATCAAAGACCTACGGCTGATTCTGAACCAGAGCCTTCGGCGGCAAGCGGTGCCTGACAAATGTTAGGCCTCTTTGATCCAAACACCATTTAGATGATTTCACCAAGCATTTGGCTAATGAATAACAGCCTAGTTTGCTCTGGATTTGCACCAAAATATATATTTTTTAAAGTATGTATTCTTTCAGAAATATCTTCTAGAAAATGAAGACTACCATCCCACCACTCCCCAGAAACTTAAAGAGCAAACAAGCAATTTCTTGTGCTTGTCAGATGAATAAGGAAGCTGTTTGCAACACAAAATACACACATTGTAGAAGCAGGGAAGCTCTCAAAAACAATAAAAAATGCTTTCATTTTAACAGTTAAAAAATACGCTAGCTAAATGCATACTTGTTAAGCCCCAACCCCTTTTTCTCACCTTTCAGTACACAAATATGGGCTGTCATTAAACAAATTCTGCTTATACAAGCGTCTCGCCACATCATACAAGCTTTAGAGAATGTAACTGAGGTCCTGAAGATTCTTCAGGGCTGAGAATCTGACCCTGACCTACTTTTTTACTATAACAAACACACATTGCAAAATGTGTTTGCAGGACCAGACCACAAAGGGTACCTAACCAGTAAAACCAGATGTAGCAGTAGCCCAGACATTACATAACACATTAGCGATCGTCAGAAGCGTCCAGCATCTTTTTTACTCTGCCACCATGTAAAACATGAAGATATTAATGCAACAATGCAAGCTTTTTGCAAACTGCATTGCCATTTGATAGCAATGATTAGCACTGCACATACATAGAAGTGATCGTAAAACCAAGCAAGAGCTTTTTTAGCACTGTTTCAACCTTTTATCCTCAACGCTCAAATTCTACAGACTCCAACATATTAAATTTTTAATCTAGCAAGATCCAATACAGATTAGGTATCTATTTAACAAAAACTTGTAGTAGAGCACAATTCAGATGATTTTAAAATACCAAAATATTCAAAAGAAAACATTTCTGTGCATTGGGAAGAAAAGCTAGAATCATATGCAGAAATGTATAGTACTCTGCTTTCAATTAATAAAATAGGTTACATGCTTTTAAAAGTCATGCAGGAAACATTAACAGCTCTCAGGCAGGACAGTGCTCAAAGTCCCAAGGCAATTATGTAAATAGTCATTTTTAGACAGAGTATTTTGTTAAACAGTGTTGGAATGGATCAACGTGGTCCCTTGAGCAACTCAGTATCTAGGTATACATATTTTTATACCGGCCTAGGTACATAGCTTGGCACACTAGTCATTTCCCAGATGAGGAAATATTGGCATTAAAAGGTTCTAGGAGATTAAACAATAAAAGTAATTTTGTAGAGTAGTTATGGAATTTGGAAGCATCTAATAACAAACACTTCCCTTGATTTTAACACTCAATCTTCGTTGGATCAAGCCAACAAACTAAAAGAAACTTCAGTTACCCATGACCCCGTTCCTTTCCCAAAGGAACTTCTGTAACACCACGGGTGAAGCTCTGGGATTAGGACGGAGAGAAAGGAAGGGATGATCCGTTCATCAAACCTTCCAGACCCCGCTGCAAGGCACCTTCAAGGAAGGCTCTCTGACTTCCAGAATACACACCGTTACCACCGCTCTGTGAACCAGTATCCAACCATCTTCGAAACAGCTATCAACTTCATTTTAATTCCCTCTCCAGCCACCTCCCACCAGGGAGAAAAGAGAAAGTCTGTGAACAACAGTTTGAAATAGAGTTAGGCTATGAAGAGTTACATTGTCACCTCAATTTGTCGGTTAAGTGTATATATAAACAGAAAATAAGGTAACTAGATCACATAAAGTTAGTATGTTGGCAGCATTTGGACAAAACTAGCTTCTGCATGATCAACAGAACATTAGAAATGTAAAGCCAATGTTCATTTATCATTGCAAAAAAAAAAAAGTGAATTCCAATGCCCATCTTGGAGTTGTAATATCATGCATACAAGAAGGAATGTAATCACAGTTGGGCTTGGCACAGAACAGCTGCTTAGGAGAATCACACCATCACTTTGCACTCAGTCACTGAAGGCACTCGTTTCCCAAACACCTTAAGTGTTGTATGCATCTGCCCAGGCTAAGTGTAAATGAGCTACTTTGACACAGATCTTAGCAAAAAAAAAAAAAAAAAAACAAAAA